TTGTTTCTCCTTTCTTTTCTGCTTTGGCAGTGATAGGGTTTTATATTTCCTCCCATTACACTTTTATATGACCATGATTTACGACCCTGGGTTTAAAGATTTATTGCAATGCACACATGGCACAGCAGCCTCTAAGTGATGCATTTAGCCTGGTTATTATTCTCTTATATAGCAATTTTTCCAAAGTGAAACAAGCAGCCTTGTGTTGTCAAAACTATCATCCTCTAACTTCTGAGGTTTATTCTGAAGAGAATAAAGCCAGGGAAGAGAAGCAACTTAAGGAGGTTGGCTGGCACCCGTAAACCTCACGAGTAATAAAAGCACATGGGAGCTTAACCAGGCACCAGATGGTCTTCAGGCAGTTAATTGCAGGTTGGGGATCCACATCTACATCTTGTTCGTTCCTCTTTACAGAAATGGTTAAAAACCTGTCAGAAATTTAAACTACCTCTGAGAAAAGCAGCAATGGCAACACCCATCTATCACCTCCTCTCCCTTGCTTGTGCATGTTTTAGGGCAGTGTTTTACCTAGGATGAGCAAGGGCCTTAGGTCATCTTAGACAGCTTAAACTGATCTGAGGCTTTAATGTGCTTAAAGGTGGGGGAAGGACATTGATTGTATTTAACCCTTAAGCCCCACAGACAACTGTGAACCTAAGGCAGGCAGAAGTCTCTTGTTTGGCATGGATTTGTGTTCCTTTCTTCGCATGCATCCTCTTGGTGGAGAGACCAAGTCAAAGTCCCCTAAAATCGCTGAGAAGTCTTAAATTAGCTCAAAGGAGCACTGCTGGTGGCATCAGCAGCAGCAGGTTCAGCTTTCTCTTGTGGACATTCTTAGAGCGAAGTTTATAATTTTCTGTGCTCAACTTGTGGTGTCAAAACTGATCTGGAAAACATTAAAACCCAACCACATCCAATAGTTTCACCTGTGGTGAAAATCCAAAACCTGTGGTTCCCCATCAAAACGCATCTTTCCAACTGCAGTTTCTAAAATTACCATCCAATTAAAGAAATAGTAGTGATTTTTTTTAAAATAAGAAATTTTTTCATTTAAATAAACATTTGAAATTGACATTTAAGAGAATTTTGTCTCTCTTTTTCATGCAAGCAAAGCTTGTCATAATTTTATTTTTTCATGACTAAGCATACTACCCAAGAGGATTTCCTCCAAATTTCCAAACGGGGCACAGGCTGGAGCTGCAGCATCCCCACCACTGGAAATGCCAAGGAATGCTGTGGGTTTGGATGGAATTATTACTGTGCTAGGCAGACCTGGCATCTCAAAAAATTAAGACCTGTGCTGCCAAATTTGAAGATGCCTTGCCCGAGGATTTTACCTCATCTCAGGCTTGTCTCAGAAGCATCCAAGATGTAATTTTGCTTTGAGTTTCTCACCAAGGTCTACACTCGTGGAGCAGACCAGCACTAAAATCCTGGCTTCTCCTATGTATGTGTGACACCAATAACCCACCTTCTCACTGGGATTGGCCCAGTTTTTTTCTGTCATGGGCAGAAAACCCACTCTCTGAGGTTGCTACGTGGTAGGGAAGGCAGCAGAGAACACCTGTGGGCTTGAGTGCTGTTTGCTTTACACTGATGCGGCTCCAGAGCTTGAACATGAGATTTTAACCCTAAAAATGGCCATGGATCTGTGGGTGCTCATCTCCTGAGCTGGACCCCAGCAGCTGAGCCACTGCCACGTTTCTGATGCTCTTGCAGAAAAGCATCAATGGTGCTGATTTGTAACTGGAAAGGAAGATTATATTGCATGACTCAGACATGACGCTGGGGAAGAGGTCTGATATTATGATATTTAAGCACAGGAAAACCAGGTTGTCAGTGGAAAAGCTTGAAAAACAGACATGGCTCCTTTATTTATGCTCATGATGAACTGATTTGCACAGTGCCCATATGAAGGGTCAGCAGTGAATGTGGCCAAGCACAGCCACACCACACATGGCCAGCCCCAGCATCAGCAGTAAAATACAGTTTTAAATACTACTCCAAAAATCCTATCACTTTATCCTGAAATAAAATGTCTCATATAGAAGTCAATTTTGAATTTCTCCCCTAAATTCACAGTATTTCCAGAGAAGGCCTTAAAAACCAGCTGGAACTTGTCCATCTGCAGAGTCAGGGTTTGGTGTTTGGCTGTGTGAGTGGCTGGGGGCATGTGCAGCCCGTGCAGCTGTGTCAAACCCAGTCACGCCTGCTCATTAGCTCATTTCTGATACAGCCCTTGGCAGGGCTGCAGAGCAGGCCCAGGTAATGAGAGATGGCCTCTGTGCAGCCTCTAAAAGGGCTTGAGTTATGTTTTATTGTCAGTCTCAATGCTGGCATTTCTGTGCATTTCATTTTACCTCTCTATTGCTGCTCTTGTAATCGGGCTGTGGTAATTAAACATTGAATGCAGCCCTGCAGATCCCCACAGCTGCAGCACGCCCCGCTACTCACAGCCACTCCAGAGAGGACTTTACACATAAGATCTTAATTTTTTTAGAAATACCTGCTCTTCAGATAGCTACAATAGCTCTGCAGGAGCCTGTCAGTCAAGCAAGATTACAGACTCCCTAAATTCAGGCTGACATGACAGACTGTAATGACTTTGAAGGGGCTTTTATGGTCTATTGTGCCAGTGGTCCCTGCCTAACAGAAGCATCTCCTACATTTCTCATGAAAACTGTAATGGCTCCAGAGACTTCTAAACTATCAGTTATTTCAAATGTGAGTTATTTCACAAAGAAAAAGCACATCAATGTGATACTAAAGGTGTAGGATAAATAAGGAAAATAGAATTTAGATTTAAATTCTAGAATTAAAGCAATTGATGCTGAGAAATTGCAGCATTGGCAAGGACTTGAGCAATTTTAAGTAAAATTTTTGCTCGCTGAAAGCCAAAATGGAGAAGTGGATGGCACTGTCTGTGCAGTGAGATTTTAATGTCATGCCATAGGGACAAATGTGGTGTCATAAATAAAAGTGGTGGATGAATTTGGGATGCCACAGCCTCGAGATAAGTTACAGTGCTCATGTTGTGGATGGGTTTGGCCTCTTTGGCCTCCACCACGCTGGAGGTCAGGGCAGACCATCACACTTGCCCTTCCTGGCCTCACACTCTCTCAATCTTCTCCTGAAGGCAGGAGCATGGCATTTCTAACACCACATGATTTACGTGTGAAAGAGAAGGAAAATAGGGAAAATGTCACAGTGGTGCTGTTTGAAGGGCAGCCTGGGTTTGGTAGCCAGCTGCAAGCTTTTAGGTCAGTCACATCTCTCATTTCCCAGGTGTGCAGTGGGTTTGTGAGACTCCTGGTGACATTCCCATGGAGTGACTGCAGATCCTGAGGGTGGTGAGAAGATGGAAGGAAGTCAGGAGCAGAAGGAAACCCGTTCCAAAGTTCGTGCTGTGGCAGCACACAAACATCCATCGTTGGGAAATCCCAAGATGTTTGGGCTGTCCATGAGGCTGGACAGAGCACCAGAGGGCTGCAGAAATGAACCATATGAGTGGCACACACAGGAGAGGCTCTGCCCAGCAGAGGGAAGCATTGCCCAAACACCCCAACCTGTGCTCCAGGTTTTCACCTTCACCTCCCTAGGAATGCCCACCTCTGCACAGCCCCTCTGAGATGAGAGGCACAGCTTAGCCCGCACCCACGGAAAACCTCATAGGCTGACACTGTACAAATTGTGCTCAGAAATTATGAGAAATCTGGAAAATCAGCTTCTAGAATAGAATTTTAAGAAATTTGTAAAAAGACACAATACATGATAAACAGTCACGTTTGTTTTAAAGTAAATGTTATTTAGCTCCTTGTATTTGGATTTATTTTCAGGTCATGATTTGATGGTTTGGAGCTGGTCAGGTTTGGAGCTGCTCCTGAAGCACCAGAGCGCCTGTATTGCCACCAGCAAAGCCTCTGATTTGGTCACCTAACTTGGGTGTCCCAGAAGAATTACACTTTTTTAGTGCCTCACATATTCCAAAACTGAAATCCAAAGACCTCAACTATACACATCTCTCAGTGCAGACTATCATTTCCTCTGACGCCTGACGAATCCTGCCCGTCAGCCCGCATCAGAGCTCAGCTCGTGCCCGATGCGAGGACGCTAGAGGTCTCAGTGTGGCTGGGAAAAAGCCGCTTTTAGCGATAATCCCATCCCGGTGTGAGACAGCGAGGGGCCGGAGCCGTGCGGGGCTGGGGCGGCGGTGCCGGCGGGGCGGGAGCGGGGCCAGGGCCGGAGCCCGGCCGGGCCCATCCCGGTCCCCATCCCCATCCGGGCTGCCGACCCCTCTCGGGGTGCCCCTGGCTTCGGGCAGGGCTGGGTGAGGGTGGTCCCTGCTGAGGGACGGGTTTCACATCCCAGGGCTGTGTGTGCGTGTGCGGGGCAGGTGGGCACGGCCGCCCCCGCGCATCCGAGCGCGTCCAGGCAGCGCGCCCGCTTGTGCTGTGCCTTTTTAATTTCCCTTTTTTTTTTTTTCCTTCCTGGCTTTCCTTTTTTATTTTTTTTCCCCCTCTCGCTGCTTTCCCTCCCCTCCCGTTTGACGTGCGTGGTTTTGGTGCAATGCGAATTATCTTCATTCAGTCAGGAGGGGCAGAGCCAGGCAGCAGAGCAGCAGCGGGGCTGCCTCCTCCTTCTTCCTCCTCCGCTTTCTCCTCTTCCTCCTCCTCCTCCTCCCATTGCCATAACAACCACGCACAGCCGCTCCGCACCGCACCGCGCCCGGCTGGCTGAGCATCCCATGGGGCCCCGCACGGGGGTGGGGGAAGAGAAACACTGACCTCCCTCCAAAAGAGAAAAAAAAAAAAAAAAGAAAGAGAAAAAGAAAGAAAGAAAAGAAAAACAAACAAACAAACAAAAATTAAGAGGGAGTTTTCGGCGGGGCGGGTCAGTCAGGGAGCAAAGTGACCCCGGACGCGGGTGCGCGCAGGGGGACGGAGGGACGGGGCAGCCCCGGCAGCGGCTCCGCGGGGGGAGCGCGGAGGAGGGGAGGGAAGGGAGGGAAAGGGGAGGAAGAGAAAGTTGGGAGGAAATAGCCCAGGAAAAGTGACACTCGCGGAGCCCGCCGGAGCGCGGAGGAAATAAAAGCGGCGGCGGGCAGGAAGTGTGAGGAGGAGGAGGAGGAAGGGGAGAAGAAGGAGGCGGAGGAGGAGGAAAAAGAAGAAGAAGAAGAAGAAGAAACAGCAGCGGCCGCTGCCGCCGCGGCAGAAAAGAAAGCAAAAGCCGCCCGAGGGCTCGGAGCCGGCGGCGCGGCATCCGCGGGGCTGCGCGGCGCGGCCATGGCCCGCGAGAACGGGGACGGCGGCGGCTCCTGGAAGAAGCAGGCGGAGGACATCAAGAAGATCTTCGAGTTCAAGGAGACGCTGGGGACGTAGGTGGCGGGCTCGGGCTGCGGGGCCGGGGGCGGGCGCTGTCCCTTCCCGCGGGGATGCGCGGTCCCCGCGCGGGTGGGTGCGGGTCTCTGCGCGGGGTTTGCGCACCCGCGCCCCGCGCGTCCATCCCAGCGACCTGGGAACACGCAGGAAAATAGAATTAATTGTGGGGTAGGAGCTGGGTTAGCATCACCCTTCGCCCTCCCCGCCATGTCCCCCAAAAAGCGATAAAACACCCCAAGTGTTCGAAAATATTCATAGAAAGAGGAGACAGGGGGAGATTTTTGCTTGATAGTGCAACTGTAAATAAATGCGGTCTGACTCGCACGCTTCCCCTAAAGCCGATGGCTGCAGCTATTCGTGGACAGACGAGCAGAAATAATCGGAGTGGATTGGATGTGTTTTAGCTACGATGCTTAACTGTTGTTGGGCTTTATTTGTTTTATTTATAGTGGCGGGGCATAAAGATTAGTAAAACGTTAGAGTTGGTTTGTTTTTTGGTTTTTTTTTTTTTTGAAGGCTGAGAAAAAACACGCACAGATGGTGCAAGGAAGCGGGGTACAGGCTGGAGCCTTTTTGGCTGAGCAAAGAGTTTTATTTTTGTTTAAAGTCATTTTCTCACTCAGGATATTACAGAGGTAGGGAGCCGGGAGTGCTGGAGGAGCCGGCACACGGGCTCTGTGTGTGTGTATATATTGAAATTAGAGTTGGGTTGTATTGCCAGGGCTCCTCGTAGCTGCTGTAATTGAAACTTCCAGCGTGTCTCGAAACCAAGCGCTGTTAATCCCGAGCAGTGCTTTTCCTACGGTCTGTGCTGCTTCCAAAACACAGCTGAGCAAGTTCTGACTGTAATATTTGAGTTTTAATTTTTTTTTGAGTTTTGATTATTAATATTTGAGTTTCTTTCTGCTGCCAAGGGAAGGCTCCCTACGAGCAGGGTATTTCTGGTTCGTGGGCTCGCTGGTTTCCTATAAACAGGCTGGAGGTTTAACACGGATAGCAGAGCCCTCCGCAAAACACCCACTTAGGAAATCACATAAATGTCTATCCAGGTCTCTGAAGAAGCAAAAAGCAGTGTAAGAGCCAAGTGTTGTGATGGATCCTTGTCACCCTCGCTGAGTTTTTGCTGTGAGAATTCCGTGCTGGGAGAGACGAGCCCTGCTTTGCCACCTGAGGTGTGCAGAGCCCTTCCTGAGCCAAGGGGTGCTGGGGAGGAAAGTTTGAGTGCTCTGAGGTTTGTTGGAGCAGCAGGACAATTCCCTGGGGTTCCCACTGTGCATCCCTCTGAGATCTCTGTGGTTGTGGTTTAAAGCCACCTGCAAGGGTTAATTTGTGCTGCCGAAGGGGTTCAGGAGGAATTAATGCTGTGGCCTTGATCCAGATCCCTCTGTAGTTAATGGGAGCTGGTGTAGGTCCCAAGGAAGGTAAAGCTGGTCAGAGTTAATAGTTATGCATGTTAGCACGGCTGTTGCAAATTAAATTCATTAAATATGGCAAATTAGTGCCTCAAACTATTAACTGAGCCTCACAGTTTGGTAAGTCCTTTCTGATGGGAGTGGAAGCTGTGGAGTTTTCAAACTTGACTTAACAGTCAATCTAGAAAGTTTTAGAAAATGAAAATAATTGGATTACAAACCTGGGCCCACATAGAGATAATAGAGCTGTTTTATTTTCCAGCCATAGCTGTATTTAATGATGAATATCTGTGTGTTTGGCAGCCTGCACGTGGGTTACCTTCTGGTTGTGCATTCCTTACCTTCCAAGGGCAGGCTGATAATTAGAAGATTTGAATCTGAGTTTTGGTTCTGTCCTTGGCCACCCACCAGTGCAGCACCTGCAGTTCCTACCAGGTCTGGTGTGACTTACCAGGATGTGAAGCTTCCCAAAAATTTAGGCCATTGCTGTGCAAATCATTAAAGTGCATGTTCCATTTCCACTGAAGGCAGTGAAGGGAGGTTCACTGATTTGAGCAGCAGATAGACAGGGTCCAGGAGCCTAAATGATGGGAAGCATTCTCAATTATTGATAAGAAAGTATTTAAATAGGAATTAAGCTATATAAGTAGAAATAGCTTTAAAGTATTTGCACCAAAACATTTTCCTCTGGCATTATTTAGGAGCAGGGTTAAAATCTGCTTTGATCCCTCCTGCGCTGTAAAGCTGAACTATGTTGGACAGCCAACACTTGATCTCAGTGGCTAATAGATTTTTCTCCAGCATGGAGTGAAAAACTTGGCATGTCAAATGAAATGTACTGGATTGTAGTAACTGTATTTTGCATTTCTCTGCCATTCCATTTCAGGATGCCAAAGTGCTAAAAGCACTTTAAACAGAAAAACAGCCCTTTTTCATGCAGCTGTCTTAACTGCCTGTGGTAAAATTAGCTAGAGAAAGAAAAGTACTAAATCCTCAAATCAAGGAAGAAAGTGAAAAAGAAACTTTAAAAGCATATTTTATTTCAAGTGCATTGATTTGTGAATGTGAAATCTGTGTGTACACCTTAATAATGGTTTGCTCTCAGAAAAGAGCCTTTCATCTGGATAAAAGCTCTTCAGCAGATCTTTAACACGGGAGAATTGAAATTTGCTGGAATTATTAAAAAGATCCTAAGTCAGTTAATCATTACATCATTTGGGCTTCAAGGAAACTCTAATGAGTAGCCGGCTCTCCCTTCCTGAGCTGGAATAAATTATTTACACATCCCTGTAAATCATGTCCAGCCACATTGATGCTGAAATTGAACTGGATGTCATGTCCAGAAGTAAGAAAGCAGCTCTTTTCCCCCCAAAGAATTGCTTCCTTTGGTGGCTGGGGTCTGTGTTGTTTGCTCTCTGCTGTTGGACAATAATATTTTTCTAAAGAAGTTCCAGCAATGCAGTGATTGGCTCAGATGTACCCAAACCTGTATCTACCGTGTTCTGTATTTATGCAGATATAAAAGTATGTGCAATCTTCTTTTGAGGCTGCCATCTCAAAAGAAGAGTGTCAACAAAAGATTTTGGTAATATTAGTCAATATTAGTGTATTTTATAATACATGATTATTGGTATAGTTTATATGTCATTATATTACAATATGAATGATGGTCCTGATCCATTCCCAGTCCATGTGGGACAGTGCACCAAACTCCATGTGCACAGGTTCATTGAGTGCCCCTTTTGGAACTGGCCCTGTTTGCTGCTAAGCCATTGACATGAAATTACAAATCCTGAAAAAGTAGCTAGGAAAAAATAAGCAAAATAAGTGAAAGATAAAATAAAATCATAGCAACGAGCAAGATCCTCAATGAATGTTATTTAGAGTCCCTTCCAAGTCAAGACAGGTGTGCTTAAGGAAAGAAGAGGATCTGATTCTTGCCTCTAAATTTCCACGAATTCACCTATTGTAGCTCTATTCAGTTCCTCCTGGAAGACAAATTGAGAGGGGAATTGAGGGCCTGCCTGGAGAGGGGGATTTCTGCCCCAGCCCTTGGGAGATGTGAGGTTTCACAATAGTAGGAATCTGATGAGTGATCACAGAAATACCACTTTTTTCCCTCCACATTTAAAATATATTATGTCTAAGGCATTTTAAACCTTAGATTTTGACATCTGAGAAATAATAAGAAATACCATACCACCCAGCAGTCAAAGAGGAAGGTTCCATCACTTGATCTGCCTAATTAGATCAACCCATATTTCTAAGATACCTGTAATTAGGCCTAATTGACATCAGAGTTCTAATATTTAGAAAGGCTCAGACTTAGTAATTATAAAAATACCAGTGCTTTCCTTAAAACTGGTGTGGTGGATTCCTTAAAGCTTAGTGAGGATAACAGAGGGAGCTGCATGGATCTGGCCATAACATAGTAAGAGCTGGGTGGGAAGACAAAGACACTTCAAATAAGTTTCCAGCACTTTCCTAAAACACAGTATAGAGAAAACATATGGGTGGGTCTGTTCTTCTCTCTTCTCTGGGGCTCTGTGGTAATTTTTGGTTCATCTGTGTCACTTCCATGCTCTTACACCATTTGATGGGCTCCTGGCACCCTCCGTGGCTCTTCCACGCACCAGTACGTGCTGGTTCATGCTGTGGGATGAAGTCACTCCTCATCCTCCTCTCAGATCTCTTTTCTTCTCTCTCACACCCACGTGCACACAAGCACAAGAACCCGTCAGGAACCCGTACGTGCTGTCTGCTGTGTGTCTGTCTGTCCTCTCACACTGCCTCCCCCTCCCTGCAGCCTCACCCTGCCTCTCCTGAGCTCCTCCTGCTCCTGCCTGGTTTGGGTGCTCAGACCCTCTTGGGGGCTGTGCCTCAGCTCCCAGCAGTGAGAAGGGGCTGGTGGCAAGCACAGGTCCTGGCAGGGACCCCTCTCTGGAGAGGAGGGCCTGGGAGATACCGGAGGCCTCAAGATCTGCTGCCTCTTGTCAAAGATCCTGCCTTTCCATCAGCTGGACTCACACAACAGATCATTTCACTTGAGGCACCGTGCAAGTTACTCAGTTCTTCCCTAGTGATTTTGGAAGCTCTCAAGACATGAAGAAAGAGGTTGATGTTTGTGTTTGCCTTGGCTCGATGCGCCCTGTGATGATTGAGGGTTTGTCTGATTTTCGAGTTTCTGCTGACATTACCAGCAATTGCTGCCTCTCTTTTATGACACCTCAGTGGCTCTGTCAAATTGTTTCATATTTTCCTCAGTTCAGTATTTTCCCTTGTTTGTTTAAATTAAAGAAATATTTCACCAAAAAAAAAAATCTTCAGGGGAGCAAATGCAGTAGGCTGAAGTTGAGGTGCAGGTTTTCAGGAGCAAAGCTCATGAACCACTGGAGCAAACCGTGAAGGCAAGTGGATCTCATCTCCTCTGGGATGATTTTCTGGGATCTCTGAAAGCTCTCAGGCTACAAGCAGCAGGAAAGTGCCTCTTGTCCATGTTTACAAAGGAAGAGAGTTCATGGTCATTTCTGACCTTACAATCCATAACTCTGGGAATCTCGCTGTCAAACCCATGTGGGGTCAGG